ACCGCCGAATTTAGTAACATCGCCTGCGTCAATCATGCGCCTAGCGTGCGTCAGCGCCGCGCGGCTCCGGGTCTGCTCCCCCCGCCTCCCAGCCTTTGAATGGATACAATGCAGCAGCGCCCTCCTTCCTTCCGAGACTGGATTGGAATCCGTGGCAGTGCAGAGGCTGGGTTCCTCTCCGCCGGGTCAACTTTCGGAGCATCCTCCCACGGCCTCCTCCACACCACCCTGTCTCAAGTGGGAGTGGAGGCGAAGAAATAGACCTCTGTCATATGTGATGCTAGTTTTGTTTTCGAGTTTCTGGTACTAGCTAGAACCTTCTTCGAGTCTGAAACGCTGCACCCTCCCCGCTCCTTCCCCCTCACGCGCTCAAAGATTGTGACAGGTCAAAGAAATAACATGTCACCTATGATTGCAGCGGACACACGGGAACCATGTCGGTCTGCATTGTTTCACTCAAGTATTTTCTCAAAAAAAAATTCAGATCTTTAAAAGAGGATGCTTCCAACTCAGATGCAACCTTAGGAACTAGGAGCTTTTAAGTCTTCTAAATTTTTGTTTTTGTTTTCGGCAAGAAATTCACACTTAAATTCATCATTTCCAGTAAGAAATGGCTCTCCCTCATACAGTCGCCCAGGCTTTCGGCGCACCACTGAAGGACAAATGTGTCCCAGGAGACCAGAGAAAATCCCTTAGGGAGGGACCGACTAATAAATCTTGTTGATTGATTTCGAAATGTTTAATTTGGGAGATGGGAAGGGAGGCCCGTCTTCCGCCATCAAAAAGTGAAAGTGCGAACTGAGGGTTCCATTTCTGACGGGGAGGGGGGGGAACATTTGCAATAGTCAGACCCGCTCAGATGTTCAACACGTTTGTGTTTGTTTTGCACACATTTAAATAGTTTCTGCTGCAGCGCGCGTACATTTAGTTGGGTTACATTTATAAAACGCACCCCTTAAGTAGAAAGAAATAAAAACCTTATCTTCCCAGGGCCATCTGCATCCCTGTGTAAAACACGCAGCCAGTAGAGGATGGGAGGCGCAGAGGGCCGGACAGACGTAAACAGTTCTAGAACTGTTGCTGGCGGAAAGCGCAGCTGCACCTCAGGGAATCTTTGGTCTGGAGCCTGACTCCTTCTGCACCCCCTGCCAGGTCACTCGGAGAAGCTGGCTGGCGGAGCCTTCCTTTTCGGAAGAGCTGTCCTCTCTCTTACCCCCTCGCCCTGGCTTCCTGCCTTGGGGCAGCCTCGGAGGCGCGCCAGCAGCACTCCTCCAACTCTACTCCACCCGAGCCTGACAGCTGGGCGGTCCCGCCTGACCCGCGGGCGGGCCGCTGCTCTCTCTCTCTGACTCGTGCCCGGGAGAGCAGCGCCACTGCAAAGGGGTTGCCAGCGCGGGTCGGAAAGGCCTCCGGGCTGGGGCTGGCTGCACCGCGTAGTTTCCATTGTGCCGCCCGGCGAATGGCCGGGTAAGGCGCGCGCGCGCGCACACACACACACACACACACACACACGCACTCCCTCGCACACGCGGAACCGGCTGGGCCAGGGGAGGGAGGAGGAGGGTGACGTAGCGTCCCATGGCGTCACATTGACGTCTCGAATTCCAGGCACTCTATGGAGAGGCCGCTAGGGCTCCTGTGGCATAAATGACGTGCCGAGAGGACGAGCGAACGCGCAGCCGGGAGAGCGGAGTCTCCTGGCTCCCGCCCCCCACCCCTCCAGCTCCTGCTCCTCCTCCGCTCCCCACACACAGACAAGCTCACACCCGCTCCCTCACTCGCACACACAGACACGCGCGCACACACGCTCCGCACACACACTCCACTCTCTCCCGCGCGCTCACACCCCTCTCGCCCTGCACCCTCGCGGGTGCAGCGCGGCGCGGCAGCCGGACGCCCCTCCCGGGCTCACTTTGCAACGCTGACAGCGGTGGCCGTGGAGGTGGGAACAGCGGCGGCATCCTCTCCCCTGGTCGCGGCCGGAGCCAGGGCGCCAGCGGAACCCCTCGGCGGCGCTCTCCCATGAGTCGGGATCGCAGCATCCCCTGCCAGCCGCTCACCGCCTCTGGGAGCCGCTGGACTTGGAGACCGCAGCCCTTCCGGGACAGCAGCTGTGACTCCCCCCCAGCGCAGATTTCGGGGCAGCTCTCTAGAAACTCGCTCTAAAGACGGAACCGCCACAGCACTCAAGTACGTATTTGAGATTCGCCCAGTTAATTGGGGGACTTGCTGAAAAGTTGGCACACTGGGAAGCGTCGCTCCCGAAATTGACAACTTTGAGTGTGGGGTTTTCCCCCCCTCATCGCCTCGCTGCCGCCTCGGTTGCTGAGAGGCGGGTGGGTTCTGATCTGAAACTTTTCCCCGGTAGCGGACCCCCGGGGATCTCTGGAGCTAGTGGGATTCCAACCCCCACCCGAAGGGGCGAAAAGCCTGTAACAAAGAGGAGGACCGGGATGTGTGCAGTCGCAGCTCCGGAGATGTAATTCAGGGTATTTCAGCTCTAGTTGTCATGGTAATGATGCTCTCGGCGGCGGCGGCAGCAGCGGCGGCGGGGAGTTGCAGCTCCGGTGATGAACGGCAGTAATTTTCCTGCCTTTTAACTAGGATTGAACATAGCGGCTCCCGTGGTCCAAGTTCATACACCTGAGAGTGACTCCGAGCGGGTTGACTGGGAGGTAGCTTGGGAGGGGAAAGGGGCCAGGGCAGCCGCGGCCGGAGTTGGCAAAGGCGCTCGGAGGATCTCAGGAAAAGAGGGCATAATTGTAGGAATGTGGCTTATTGTATTGAAATGAGCCTGGGGCGCCGCTAGGCACGTCTGCCCGGCGTCGCCGACTTGCCCGCTGACACTTTTCCCTCCGGAGGTGATCGGGTGTAATTGCGGACTCCCGCACTCCGACACGCGTGGGGACGGTGTCCCTTTCATCCAGGCTCGGCTCGGTGTGAGAAAGGCATGTTTTCCTCTTCACTGAGAGAACTCGCGCTTTTGGAGAAGTTGCTCCGAGTGCTTTAATAGAATTGAAAGTTCTCGGTGGAGAGGAGAGAGAGGTCGTGCCAACGCAGCCTGCGGAGACTGGCTTCCCAAGGCTCCTCTAGAACCTGCTGGGAGTTTGGGGCAGTCGTGAAGTTTCAGCATGTGCCCCTTGATTCCAAAGAACGTGTTTCTGGGCGCCGAGGCTTTGCCTAGAGATATTGCCTCTTATTTATGCCTCCATACTCCAAAGGGAAGAGCTGGCTGCAGGGAGGTTGGTGATCAGAAATCGCGGGCCGTTGGTTATCCCAGAGGCTTGGGGTGCCGGGAGAGACATACATAGGGCGCCTGTGTGGTCACTTCATCGCAAATTCCATCTTCTTTTCCCGCGACAAAGAAATGTTTTCTAGAACTAAGTTTGGGAAAGAGAAACCTGCCCAACGCGGCTACCGGGCACAATGAATGAAGTTAGAGTTTATTCCGAGTTATCGTAGCTGAACAAGATGCTCCCCTGTGAGTATCAAAGACTCCTCAGGCCACAGCAGCCTCTGCACCCGCTGCCTCCCCCCGCGCCCACCCACTCCCCTCCCTGGGACCTGGCGCTCGCAGGATTTCTCCCCGCGGTTTGTCTCCTCTCCCTCGGTCTTTCTGAGAATCTGTCTTTCCCATTCTGTCGGTCTCCTCCACGCCTCCTGCCCCCGCCCAGCCTCCGCCCCCGCTCCCCAAGGTTGGAAACTCCGCGGAGGGGCCGGGGTCACAATGGCGCGTTTCACGGTTTCCTCCACTCGCTTCACCACCGGGAGGGGAACACGGGGGTGTTCCTTTCGTCTGCCCACGAGAAAGAAAGGGGCTTTGACAGAGGTAGTTATTTCTTCCTAATTTACAACCTCGAGGCTCCGTGCTCCCGGCCCCGCGGCCGCGAGCAGGAGCCACCGAAAGTGTTTCCAGGCGCGGAGGCTTTGCCTAGGTAACCGGACGTTTTGGAGGGCGCGGGGGGAGAGAACCGAGGGGCCCTCGGCTCAGCTGTAGGAGACGTGGTGTGGCTCTTCCCCTCCAACACCGGTGCTCCAGAGACGCGACCCTCATCCACCAAGTCAAAGGCCGATCCTTAGAGAAAGGCTCCGCTGGAAAGGCCCCGGGCAGGGCGGGCAGGCGGGGCACCTCCTGGGAGAGGTGGTGGGAGGAGGTTTCTGGAGACCCCACTGAAGATTGGGGGCGGGGGGAGAAGGGCTGAAAGCACCAGCTACAACCGTGGGAAGATCCTTCCGTGCTTGCACTAGAGTTCGCTCACGCTTTCCGTAGGATCCGCTGGGGCTGGGGCTGGGGCTGGGGCTGGGGAAGGGCCTGGGACTGGGGGTATCAAGGGAATCCCCCATTTCCTGACTTTCGAGGGCTTCCCGGACCTGAAGACTCCGAGTACCTCTCCTTCCTCAGGGAAGCCATGGGCGTAGAGGCTGCAGGCAATGAAACTTGCACGACCCTCTCGCAGCCCGCGCACCCGCGAGGATTTGGGGGGTTTGTTTATTTTTGGCTCCACGTTGCCTCCCATTCAGCTGTGAGTGGGTCGGGACAAAGGTGGCGCTATAGGCCGGAGTTGGCGACAGTGGAATCCTTCCTCCAGGCCCGGGGAGCTGTGCTTCCAGCTACAAAGTTTCGCCGAGGCTATGCGCTGAA